CCCCATCAGACTGTCAGCAGATTTCTCAAAAGAGACCTTGCAGGCAAGAAGGGGCTGGAAAGAAGTATTCCAAGTCATGAAATCCAAAGACCTACATCCAAGCTTGCTCTATCCAGCAAAGCTTTCATTTAGAATGGAAGGACAGATAAAGTGCTTCTCAGATAAGATCAAATTCAAGGAGATCATCATCACCAAGCCCTTATTATATGAAATGTTAAAGGGACTTATCTAAGAAAAAGAAGATAAAAAAGATGAACAGTGAAAGGACAGCAAACTCACAGTTATTAAGAACCACACCTAAAACATCAGCAAACTAAGAGGACAGCTAGATCAGGAGCAGAACCATAGAAATGAAGATCTCATGGAGGGTTAGCAACAGGGGAGTGGAAGAAGGAGAAGGGGAGGAAGGTACAGAAAATAAGTAGCATAGATGGTAGGTAGAAAATAGATAGGGGGAGGGCAAGAATATTATGGGAAATATAGAATCTAAAGAACTTGAGACACGTGGTCATAAACTAAAGGGGGGGATTAAACTAAATTTTAAACTATGTAGTTTTGCATTATATGAGTGTACCACAACTTATTTATTCTTTATCCACTGATGGGCATTTGTTGTTTCCAGTTTTTTAAAAGATATTAATGAATAAACAGTTATGAACATCTTGTACTTACCTTTTGTTCAACATATGCACTTATTTCTCCTGTCCTTCTAACAGCAAAATTGCTGGATGTGCAAGTTCTAGCTGTTTCACAACCTTGTGAACATGTAGAATTGTCAGTTTTATTTTAAATTTTCACTATTCCAGTTGATGTGTTGTTTCATTAAGATTTTAACTTATATTCCCCTAATGAGCTGAGTACCTTTTCAAGTGCTCATTGGCTAGTTGATATATTCTTTTGTAAAGAACATTTTCAAGTAGTTTGCCTATTTTTCATGGAATATCTTTCCCTAAAAGGAAAGCAAGGTAGATGGAGGGTATTATGTCCTCTACAAACAACCAGCTAAGATGGAGAGATAGACAGGTAATCAGTCAGAAAAGTAGAACCTTTGTAAGTGACATGAAATTAGAATTTATTATAGGCAATAATGAGAATCTTGTGAAAGACTGTTGAGTCCGGGTCTGGCAGGCTGGCAGGTAGGGAGGAAAAGTAACCACGAAATAGAGGAGAGCAAGGACAGATACACACAGAGGGCCAAACTGGAGCCCACACAAACAAACAAACTGTGTCTACCTTTAATCCCTTCAACTTCAGTGATGCAGGCAATGTGTGGAAGAGGCTAGTGCCCTTTGGTGAAGGGCTGTACATACCCCAAATTGACCTAGAACGAAGGGACAAGGAGATAAGGGGAGAGATCAGAGATGCATACAGGCTGCACAGTGCCTGGTGCCCCAAGCTCCTCTGCAGAGGACCAGCCACTGCTTGGTTTCCACCTTCCACAATGCATACACTTTCTCTTGTGGCATCCCTAACCTGGAACCCCACAGAAAAGGAATTCTGAGAAGTATGGATCCAGTGTGGCTAAGTTGACATCAGAGAGCTTGTCCCTGCTGTTAAGGAAAAGGACCAAAGAAAGCTAACATTTACTGAGTACATTTTGGGCCAGGTACTGTCCTAAATATTTAACCTATTGACAACTGATATCCTAGTAGGCAGCTAGCTATACCATGTGTTGGAAAGCAATGTGTGGTGTGAGGTTGGAGCAACCACTTTATGCCCAGATGCTGGTCATTGCAAGAGAGACAGCCCCAAATTTCAGAACAAGGCTTATCAAGCTTTGAGATGCTCTGCCACAGTGTGGGTTAACTTGAACTTGGTTAGCAGGGCACATTAGAACCAAAAGAGGCAGAAGCTGTGAATTTCTGTGGCCTTACAGACTGCAGAGACTTTACTATACTTTAATATTTGTGAAGGACTTGGAAGTAATGTATCATCGATCAGGAATTGTTCCATAGTTTTTGTTAACTAAAGTATATATACCATACACAAATATGTCTGTATTGGATAGTCTTTGAGGTAATCATTTACATTATTTCTTGCTGAATTTTTCCTTTGAGGAGAGAGCAGATACTGTGGATTTTGTTTTGTTTTGTCCAAGGAGAGTATTGTAGCAAGGCTGAAAGCAGAAGTTGCCTGATAAAAACACTTTCCTTTCTGTCTCTTGTGATTTTAAAACTAAATCCATAGGAGGAGGCAGGTGGTTTGTAGATCCCAGGGAGAGTATATATATGTAGATGGGGACATGGCCAACCTCACAACAGATTCTGTGATGCAGAAATTATGATACAGACTGAATACTGAGACAGTTGGATGATGAAGAGTAATGTGATGAAACATGCCCACAACATCTTCAAGGCATGAGGGACAGATCTGTCTCTCCTGGAGCTGAGTTAACCCATAGATTCTGGTCTTCTGTATTTATCCACACTGAGGCTCTCACTTCCCCAGCATAACCACTCAATGTAAGCTACTCTTTCTTATTTCCTCCTCTCCATTTTTAAATTTAAATTAAAAGATACAAAGAGCAGGAAGAATCATTCTGGATAGCTTAAGTTTCATTTAAATATTATGCATAAGGTCCAAATAACAGAATTATGTTCTTTGATTCACATTCATCTGTGGTCATTTGGGCCTTCAAAAATTTTTTTCACCATTTGCTTATTTACCCTTTTTATTTTTGTCTCCTTGATGACTGACCTTCTATGAACCAAGTATGGTCAGGATATAATCAACACTAGGTAAACTGCAAGAGATTCATACTGAGAAGGAATTTTTCTTGTCCTACTCCTTGAAATCCATTTCAGATGATTTCCACCTAATTTAGTGATATTTTAAATTTTATCCCAATATTAGACTCCATTAATTCCCCAAATATCTCTTGAGTCTTCAGTGAGTGTCAGGCACAGTTCTGTGTGCTAGGGATACACATTTTCCACTGTTCTGAACAAAACAAAGCCCTGTTTGGATCAGTCTGGGCTCTTAGGGGTGTGGGAGGCAACAGCTAAAATGAAAAACATATACAGGGAGGACAGAGTGGAAAATTCAGGGAGACATTCTTCTCACAGCTACTTTCTAGAAATAGAAATAGAGATCTGCAGTTTCTAGTTATAAATTAGGGAAGACAACAAGAAAAAGAAATGCAAGATTAATTAAGATTCATCATAAATGGTAAAATTGAGGTTAAGATTTAAAAATCCAGCTCTTGATTTGAAAGGGTTAAATTACACATAAGGAAATTATGCACAAGTGAAAGGGAAGAACAAATCGTTTTTGTGATTTTGGAAAAACTACTTTATTCTTCACTGTCTCTGGGCAGTTTCTGGTTTAGAACAAAAAAGACATTTCTCTTTTCATGCCAAGAGGGCAAGAACAGTTTCTCCAACTCCATAGCGTGTGAGCTGCTATTAGTGTGGCATGCATCTGTGTACATTAAATGTATACTAGATATATGCTTGTCAGCTTCAAATAACCTGTATTAAGCACTTATCAACTCACTGCTCATTTAAAAAAATTTACTCTAATAGTCAGATTCAAAGTTGTTCCACTAGTCTAAATGCTCCTCTGTTAGCCTAGGACCTAGGCATTCTCCACTGTGCTGGCAGTGTCTGGCTGTAAATTGTTGCTAGGCTGAGACAAACTAACTGGATGTCAAAACTGTAGGTAGGTGGCAGCATGGTTCAATTCCCTGTTTTAAATGCAACCAGTCTGGAATTTTACACCCACCTCTCTGTTGCCTGGTGACAAGTTTCCACATCCTTCATCACCTCAATTTTTCCTCATCTGTAAAGTAGGAAACTTATAGCTGCTACAGTTATTGTGAGGAGTAAATAAAAACAATCCGTGTACTTAGAACAGGCCTTGGCACATTTGCTCTCAATAAGTGATAGTTATATGACATATAACCACTTACCAAGTGCTACATAACAATTACTATGATGGTTGAAGAGAGCCAAGGGCTCTTTAAAGGAAGCTGAATAAAGCCAACATTTCGCCAACTAAAAAGTTGCTGACAAGTTAATCGTAGATTTTGAAATATTATTCTGATATTCTGGAAGAATGAGGTGGTCAACTTTGGGGGGGCACAGGTTGAAATTGTTATCTCTTTAATTAGCTACACATCTATTAGATCCTGCCTGAAACCCGTAGTCTATTTTGGCAGAGGGGAATTGTCTAATTTTGGTGACTGTAATGAAATTGGGTTAAAATGCTCATATGCTATGACAGTGACTGAACCCCTATGAAACGTTGTTACGTTGGCCGATGTCAGTACTAGTACTTCCGGAGGACAAAAATGCGTGCCGCGTGCACTCAAGTGGAGTTCAATCCTAAACGGCCTTCAGAAGATGAGAGACGTTGGTCCTTCAAGAAAAAAGAGTCGTAGCAGGAAGAATTCAACTGAACCTCCAGTCTGAAGTCATTTCCCTTATAAATGGAGGGGATCCTAAAAAGGTGACAGCCCCGCTGGGCTGGCTCTTTCAGGATCCACCAGTCCCACCCTAGGCTCTCCTGTGCGTCTTCCGGCTGGTGCTCTGAACACGCAGGCCCACCGTCTCCAGACAGTCCTTCGCCCGCAACAGCTGGCCAGCCGGCTCTTCCCGACGCCACAGCCTGCGATTTCCCCGCAGTTGGAGTTCCCTGTCCGGCCGGCGGTGGGCGCGCGCCCTGAGAGGCCGGAGCCCACTGCCGCGAGCACAGCGGGTCGCCCCGTTGAGCCCTGGGGTCCTGTGGCCTTGGCGCCCGCACGCTCCCAGCTCGGTCCCTGCAGCCTGTAGAGGTCGGTTCCGCCAGCTTGGGGTCGGGGTCGGCCCACCCTCCCCGGTATCGCTGCCCCTGGCGGCCGGGCCCCCACCTCGGAGGGGGATGGGGAGGGAGGAGAGACGAGGAGTTGGAGACAGACGCAGCCTCCCCGAGCACAGTTAGGCAGGAGACAGACGGGTGGCGGGAGACTCCCCCCTCCGGCAGCTGGAGGCCGGTCAGATCTCCGCGGCTGCAGCCCTGTTTCTCCTCTACCCTCTGCCCGGAGGCTACGGGCGGGGCGGGACTAGGAGGCGAGAGCGTCTGGCCCTTCCTGTCCAGCGTGCCACCCGCGACCAGCCGGGGTTCCCGTGCGAGCCAAGGAGGCACAGCCGCCTCTGCCAGACAGGGTGCGAGTCACCGGGAAAGTGAAAGGGGGGCGAGGAACGTGGGGGAGGCCCGGGTGTAAGCTCTAGGCTCTTAAAGAGACCCGGGGCGCCGTGCCCCACGTTGTGGTGGCCCTGCACCCGGCGCCCCTCCCCAGCGGTCCGCCAGGCCCAGTGGCCCCACGAGCCGCGCTGGGGGCGGGCTCCAGCTCTGCTCTAGGAGGGCTGCGGCAGGTGAGTGAGGACCCGAGGTGGCTGAGGTAGTAGTGGTGCCTGGCTCAAGTTCAGGGCTGCACAGTGGACGGGGAGGGGGCGGGGCGCAGGGTGGTGGCGGACGCGGGGACAGGACGCTTCGGGACGGGACGTTCTCGAGTCTGCGCTTCGGCAACTGCCCAGGAGACGAGTGCCCGTGGTCTGTGAGACAGTGTCTCCAGTGGGCACCGCGAGTGGGAGTGCCTGTGGTGGGAGGGCAACCCCGCCGCCTTTTCTGGTGTGCTTTGATGGAGGTACACTGCCGGCTTCCACACCTTTTTCTATTTCCCCGTGCCCCAACGCTGGTCGTCCTGCTACTGAGGGACTTAATTCTGCACCTCCCAGAGGCTGGGATGAGCGTGGGGGTGGCCACTCAAACAGGTCTTGACTCCCTTGGGCCTCTCGGTCGAGGGACAGGAGGTCAGAGGAAATCGGAGAGATTGTACTGGACCTTGCAGGGGAATTTGTAGAAAGGAAATGGGGCGGAAGCAGGGTACCGAGGACTCTGGCAGCCCGGCTTCCCGCAGCCCCCCACCCCCCTCGCCTCCTGCCAGCCCTAGGACCTGCTTCACCCGGCTTCTGCCCCGATTCCCCGAGCGAGCGTTGACGTTGGTCGCGGGGCCGCCCGGAGCTCCTGGCATTGGCTGGGAAGTCGATTGTCTCCCGCGGCTGCTGTTACACTTAGGCTCTCCGAGCTCCGGAGGAAGCAAACGTGTGTTGAATTTCTCTTTGACCCTCACTGTGGAATAAACAGGAAGCGACGATCACCCAGCCCGGGTCCCACACTTGCCTTTGTTGTGGGTACAGCCAGCACAGCGGTGAGGCTTCCTCGGGACCCCTGCTTGTTGGGTCGCCCTGGGAGGGTTTGGGAGGGCACCATGTAAGTACGCTGCTGGAAGACAGTGGACTCCGTTCAGGTGAATTTGCTATTGAGGGCATTTGCTTGCTTTTAAACTTTTTTTTTTTTTTTTTAATTGGAAAAGGAAGCAGCTTCCTAACGAGGCAGAGATTTTGAGGAGGACGACAGGGACGCGTGGTGGGTGGGTGTCACCTGGAGATTGCGCATGGGCTAGTGCCCTGTTTCCCAGGTTTGCTACAGGGCACCCTGCTGCTGTCTGGACTGTAAAAAACTCTTTAAAACACGCAGGGCTTCCTCGCTCCTCCTACCCAGGCATAGGAATGATTGCTCAGTGGCGATGGCCACATAAACTAGCTTACTTTTAATTTTTCTTAGTCTTTTAATGAACTAGAGTTGGATAATTTTGATTTGCTTCTTTTTTCTTCCTCTGTGTCCCATCTATTCCCTTCTCTTTGTTTCTTATTATTTTGGCAACTTGTCCCTGGACCCCTTCACTTATAGTTTAGTGCTGCCTTCAATGTTATTTATGATTCTGATATTTATTGATGGGCATTCTGGGATGTGAAGTGAGATTAGCTGTACAGGGTGTTGATTCAAAGAACTACTGTTAGTAAGTTCTTGGCAGTGGAGGTGGGTAGAGATGGTGAACAGCCTTGCCTCTTGAAAATATATGGGCTTTGGCTGGCATGGAGGTTGGTGCCTTCCCTAGGGACTAGGATTGGGAAATGTCCCTTTAAAATGGCCCTTTCCTCTTGTTTAGCTGGCCAAGGAAGGTATTGTCCCATTTGTCTCCCCTGGAGTTTTAGGACTGAGGATCAAATTATGTGAAAGATTTGGTAGAGTCTGCACTGAGAAGCTGCCATTGCAGCAAGTCATGTTCTGCATTTTACATATGAGTATTTAGTCTTTTCTACTATGTATATTGAATTTATTGTCATCAGTACGTCTGCCTTTGTACTCTGCAGAATACTCTCAAAACATATTCTTTATGTTCAGTAAAGGATCATAATTTCAAATTTGATTCATTACATTGACAAATAAGATCAGAATATTTACCCATGTACATTTATTGAATTTTAATATTTTGTTTCCTATCAACCCTTGAATGCCATTTGATGGTCCTTACAAAGCAGGGGGTATATTCTTCATGATTTTTGAATGCTTAATTCTTTTGAGAGCTTCACATTACTATTGACATTTGAACACACTGTTAGGAGTTAGGTGCCAGACTGTAAATGTCAGTAAGGGATTATTTATTGTAATGGAGTTGTAACTACATCTATCCCTTGTTATAAAATGTACCGCTAATTTTCTAATATTCTGCTGTTGCCTTTGGAAGAATTTTTCCTCATTGGCCACAGTTCTAGTTTAGGTTTATATTTGTGATGGAGAAGACTATTCCTAGTAGGATTTTTGGGCTGTCTCTTGAATTCTCTTAGAGGCTTGGTTTGCATGACCACAATCCTGTGGAGGAACTCAGCCACTGCCAACTGCTTTTTAAGGGATTTCATGCCAATTTGTTGGATTCAGAGTCCACTCCCCTGAATATATATACATACTTAAGACAAATATTTATTCCCTCCCCAACTGCTGACACCATTCTAAGAATAGTATTTTTGCCTGGCACACTGAGAGCAAGGATCCATCTGCAGAGGTGTTTACAATTTTGGACTGTGCTATGGTCTTGGTTGACTTAGCAGCCTGGCAGGGCAGCCTTGCGGCTAATAGGATGATGTCTATTTTTTATCTGGGCCTCTGGAGGGGCAACTCCCAGCCGTATAGAGGAATAGTGAGAGTGAGAGTGACTTTTGTTCTCTGAAGGTAGTTTCTGGCCTGCCGTCAAGTAGAGACCACTAAGCTCTGTCTGGATGCTTTTGTACTTGCCCAGCATGTAGTCAGTCCAGTATTTAGTCACCGCATGGACTGGGCTGGGGTGGTTGCTCTGTGGCACCATGTAAAACCCAAGTACTCTCAGGACTCAGGGCACGGACACTTGCAGTTGTGACTGGTTAGACCTTTCTGGTAGCCCTTGCCATGTTTCTTCTCATCTTCTGAATCTAGGTTTATGGAGTCTCTACGATGTGTCTATCCTTTCTGGATAACAGTTAATAGAGAAGAAAGAAAAGTCGAGGTGTGATAGATCATTCCATGTTAACCTAGAAAAAATTTAGAAATATTTAATATACTTTATATAGATACTATTAGGCTATTAAATATGAACAGTGGCAAAATAGCTATGTAGTCCCAAATTGCCCTTTCCTCCCTTCCTCCTTCCCATTCTTTCCTTCCTTTTTTCACGTCTCAGAAAACTCACCTGGAAGCCATTATTATCTGATGTCAAAGTGATTTTCTGCCTACGTGGGGTTTGTTAGTGTAGAATTATACCTTGACCTATATTATAAGTGCATGGAAGGTGAATCTTAAGTTTTAAAATAGGAAAGTAAAGCTTCTGTCTACTGTTTGAAAATTTAGGCCACATGACCTCAGTGCAACCTTTTAGGGAGATTTTTTGTGTGTCAAATTATTTGTTTCATTGTTAAGCAGCTAAAGGAAATAGCCAAACGCCTGTACTATTATATTAATTGATATAGAAATATTGGGTTTATATTTCCAATTAATTATTGCTTTTTTCTCTACCATAGGAGGACTTGAAAATAATGTCTGTGGTGTCTCATATTCATAAGTATGGATTGCTTTTCTTTGAATTCCCACTAAAAATTGTACTTTGGCCTTTTCAGCTGTTTTTGTGATGGACTTTTTTTCCCACCAACCTCGTTTTCTAGATAGGTCTTGGAAATTATGAACATAGCTATAATTTTTCCCTTGATTGGCAGCTGAGAGCTTTCCTGGACAAAAATAAGGAAACACAGTGCCAAATGGTTGACTTTTCTAGAATAAAAACTCTAAAGGGTATGCAAAAAGTCCTCTGGTTAATATATTGGCATTCCCAGAACCCACTAAAACTCCGGCAGCCTGCCAGACACTACTTAATGAGGATGCAGAGTGTCTGGCTCAAATCCCCATGAGCAGAAGGGGGTGGGGGGCTGATGTCCACACCCTTTATTAATTTTTAAAGATTGTACTGTTGTTTTTCAGATTTTGCTTTGTATTCCCCCTATGACAAACCCCCGCCATACTCCCTCCCCCATCCATTTATTTACTCATTTACTTGGCATTGGAGAAATATTGAGACTTTCAAGGTTAAGAATCCTGCTGAGAGATCATTTCTGTTTTTCTGGGTTCTTTTGTTGTTGGTTTTCTTTCTTTTCTTCCCTTTTTTATGAGTAAGAAAGAAAAGGAATAGAAAAGGAGACAACTTTTTTAAAATGATGCTTTATTGTCTGCTGGAAAAGAGAAGCATTTATGAAACTTTGAGTTTGTCAGACAGTTTATATGACAGTGCAAGTTGGTGCCTGCCAAGCTCCAGACAGATTGCTAATGTTACATGACAGGGATAAATAAATTACCACTGTCTGCAACACGCTTGCACTGCAAATGCACTCTGCAGCCTGTGGCTGGCAGAGTGCACACAGGGATCCTGTTGGCTGTGCAGCTGCAGGGAAGACCTCTGTCTACTGCCTACAGTTCTGTGGCATAAAAAGGGTGTGTCTCTTGCTTTTATTTTGGCAGTGCTTTGGGGCATCAGAATCCGAGTAGTAGGTCTGTATCCTCAGTTTTGCAGGTGACTTTGCCCATTTTGCCTTTCCCCTTCCCTTCTCAGACCCCGCCTTCTTCCTCAGGAGGTGACCGGGCACCTACTCTTCCTCTCAGGGACCTGCTCCAAGAAACTAAACTTTGTTCTTATATAGATCTGCTCAGGCCCTAAGATTTCTCAGAGCCAAGTTTCAAACTGTTTACAGTTGCATTTTTTTCTGCAGGTGCAGGCATTGAGAACATATTGTCTGAGATAAGTGTGGTACTGCCTTGGGAGGGGGCTGGGTGGCAGTCCTTGGGCATAATGTACTTTCATCTCTAGCAATTTGGATAGTCAGCTGGCAGAGTGACAGGTGTAATGAACTTAATGGTCTTGCTCTAGTTGTTAGCAGACACACTGCTCATATTACAAAGCCACCTCCTAAATTGGGCACTTGCCAAATGATTTGCTCTTCTCTTTGCAGATAGGACGCAGGGCCTGGACTACTCCAGTGATGTTAAGATCAGGAATTCGGTGGGTGTGAGCAATATCTGTGTGTCCTCATCCACATGCTGCCTAAATGGATTTGGAATTTCTTTTCAAAGTAAGATTGTTCTTTCCAGTTTGCAAAATTGGTCCTTCCCATCCACCCTTGGCCAGCCATTTTTCCATGAGAGGTATGGCAAGGACCTTCTATACAAGTGTGTGGACTCCTTGCTTCTGGGGTTTGCAGAATGGTCATGCCTTGTTGGTTTCTGGGGGGGTGCACCATTCTCCAGAGGCATGGCCAGGGATTATTTTCATTGTTGGTGGCCTCACAAATTGGGAAGAGAATTTCCGTAGTAAAATCTCACTGTTTCTAGAAGGCAGCTTGAATCTAGGCTGCTTTAAGAAGGGCTCCTGGACCTCTGGCTTGTCACCCTCCACCAGGGCAGAGAATACTAGCAATGGTTCCAAACACTTGCATGTCACTGACTATGTGCCAGGCTGTTCTTTGGGCTGTATGCATATTAACTGATTTTAATCCTCACAGCAGCCTTATGATTTAGGTACCATTCCCAATTTTCTGGAAGGCAACAAAAATCCCTGAAATTGCCCAGAGTCACACCTCTTGTAAATAAAGGGTAGAGTCTGGCCTGGCTCAAGGACTCTCCCTGGGGTCTGTGTTTTAGCTCTGAAGTTGCCTGAGGGAGGGCCCAGATCAGAAGTTCTTTCTCAGGGACCACGTACCAGCTTGGTGGAGGGGGACAGTGCCATTTTTCTCTTTGTCCCCATATAGTTCTCAGTGACACTATGCAGCCAGCAAGCTTCTTCCTGCTTCCTGCCTTGGCTGTGGCTCTAATTTATACTCCCCTTATTTCCCTTTCCCATTTTTACTTCTAACTTCTGCTTTCTGTGCCTTATTTTGCCTGTGGTAAGAGCCTCAGTTTTGATAATTGGCTCTTGGTGGCTTTGTTTTGCCACAATGAGCCTCTAGTTTCTTGAAAGAGCGGTAGTATTCTGTAGCAAACCACCCGTGTTAGTCTTTCCAGGTTCCTTACAAACCACCTCTGTTAGTCTTCTTGGGTGTAAGAACATCAAGACCTGTTTTCTGGTTGGTGAATCCAGGCCTGTGGCTCTGTGGGTGAGTTTGGATTGTACAAGGCCCTCCCCAGTTGTCTGTTCACTCAGAAGGATTCAGCTTGTCCTAGTATTTTGAAACTACCATTTTTTTGTTTCCTTTTGCTTCTCACATTTGGAAAAAACATGACAAGATAATTGTCTTTAAGATTCTCTGTTTTGCCCCATGGGAGGCATAGATTAATCAACCACACATATTGACATGTACTTCTTGTGAAATGTTATTTGCCCATCTTGGACAAACCTGAGTGTTTGAGATTATGGAACTTAAAGTGAGTTCCTAGGAAATGCAAATTTATTTGGGTCTGGCAGGGCAGCTTTTCAGCTCTTTGCAGACCTTCCTGTGGTGGCAGGAGCTGGAACCAGGTGGAACCTTGCATAGCCTCTGAGTTTTTCCAGGTGGTTGGGATGGTGCTGTTTTTGGTTAAATATCTATTACTGAACGTTTATCACATTTGATCCTTACAGTCCCCTGGGATGGGTTTGGAACAGTGTTTTCCTCTTTGCAGTTGAGGTGAGGTGGGCCTCTGGAAGTTCCTTTTCTGGTCTGTGCTCTGTCCTCCCTGTCTTCATAGCACTGAGCATCCACATTTTTATGTGGCATGCCCCAGGCTGCATCTTAGTTGTCAGCACCCAAGATGAAGCCTGTCTTGGAGTGGCCACTCCCACACCTCCTGTGGAGCAGGTGTGAATACAACCAGTCAGGGACATGCTGCTAGTCCAGCGCTTTGCCCTTTCTATTCAAACCTGACTTTTTATTCCGTGGAGTCTTTCAGGCCTGGCTGAATCCAGTGTCACAAATCCTGTCTCTGAAATCCTTATTTTCCCCGATTACATACTTATTGGAGACAATTGGAAAAATACAAAACAAAGAAGAAAATAAAATTATTGAAATTACTTATGGTTCATCCCCTTTAGAGATGACCTCTGCCAATAGTTTAGTAGGTTCTTTCCAGGTGTATTTATTGGTTAACTATAAAATCATATAAAGAAGTTATATACGTCTTTAAAACTTAGCATTTTGTCCTAAAATTCTTTTCATGTAATTTAAATATTCTCTAAATATATCAATTCTGATGACTATAATATCTTATCCTGTAGTTGTATTGTTATTTTCGGGAACCTGTTTTGGGACATTCAAGCTGTTGTCAGTTTTCTCTATTATAAATAATAGAGAAGTAAATGTTTTGATGACATCCTTTGGATAGATTTCTAAGAGGGAAGTTGGTGGGTCTAAGAACTTTTAGAGATTGCTCCAAAAGTATTACCAGATTTTTTTTTTTTTTTTACAAAGAATGGTGCACTCTGTACTACATACGTGAGGATGATCGTAGCCTCGCCAATGCTATATATTATGAAAATGAACCTTTGCAAATTTTGCAGTAAAATGGTATGACTTTTAAATTTTCCTTCCCATTTTTTGATATGAAAATCTGGATTTATATCTTCTGGGTCATAGGTGAAAAGAGTTTTGCTGTTTGCTAGATTTTTGTTATGGACAAAGGAAGTGATGTGATAGTAATCTCAGAAGGGATAAGACTTTTGTGGTATTTTAAATTTAAATTAAATTCTACTCAGGTAGGGTAAGGACACAAAGCAGCTTAATTATACATTTTTAAATGATATTGCAGGATTTTATGGCCAAGGACTGCACCAGTTCTTTTCCTACTATCCTAACCCTTCCTCATAGGGGGGTATCTTGGACTCACGATGGAGGGATGAGGGCCAGGAGAGGGAGTGGATTCAGCAGCAGCTGCTTAAAAACCTGTGTGACATCTTCTTCATTCACTTTTCTCCATTTTGAGTGTCTACTTTTTGAAGTTAAACTTTTTCTAACCTTGTAACCAAGAATGGCGACATTAAATTCATTCTCTTATTGCTTCACTTAATGGTTGGCTGATGTTCAATAGTTGATGTTGGTGCCCTTTGCTGACTGTACTTCACTCTTGCCCTCTACAAATTTGGTATTTTCTGGTTCCAGCCAAGGCCCGAGCCCTTGTATAGTTGCATGTACCTATTAGCAGTGTCTGGCCTCCCTAGCTGGTTGTTTCTGAAGCTTGAGAGAAAGGAAAATTCATTTTACTAGGTTGCCATTATGTAAAGCTGTCAGTTTTGTGTTCTTCACAGGCAGCCTTTTCAGTTGAATGGTTGGGACTGGTTGGAGGGGAGTCCATTTACAATACTGGTTGGAGGGAGCAAGACATAACACCTGTATCTTTGGGGCTAGTCCTTATTAGCTTGTTCTATTTACATGCAGCTTCACCATCCATTTGTTGAGCAGGTGTGGGTGCTCTGGGTTGCATGCTAGGGGTGTACACCATCTGTAGGATGGCCCAGTGAGCAGTGTGCAGGGGGCCCTGGGGTCCTGGGGCCCTGGGGCCCTGGTGAGCACTGTTTTCTCCTCTGTGCTCAGTTGAATGAGTCCCTGAATTCCAGACACAGATGGTGGGGAGCTCTGCTTGGGCAGTTGTCCCTTGGCCCACATCTTCCCCTCCTGGCCATACAGTCTACGACACACAGCATTCCAGGTGCAAACCCACCTTCTTCGTGGCTGGCTGTGACAGTGGTGCCAAGGATTTGGAGATGGAGTGTGCAGAGGATCAGCAGTGGGTAGGAGGGCTGACTGGTAGCCATAGAGGTGGTCTGACCAGCAGGGATTGGGCAGTGTCTTCATGGGAGCAGCCAGTGCAGGGTCTCTTATTGTGTGGGTAGGAGGTTTCCACGGGAGTTACATGCTAATGATACTATGGAATAGGTTTCTGGAACATATGCCCAGTGCACTTGGGGTGATTGAAAAATATACTATGTGTCCTTTTCCCCTGTTTGCTGTTGGCTGGTGTGTGCAGAGCTGACAGATTTATGTTTAATTTGACCTTGTTGAATTTGGCTTGGTTCTTCAGCAGGATGATAAAATAAATGCCAGAATGCTTTTCTGGTAGGGAAACAAGGCCTTTTTGGACATAATGCATGTATGATTTCAAGGGTGCAGGTAGTATTTGGAGTTGAATGACGATTGAATGTTTGTTTTCCTCCTATTAAGATAAATATAGCATCCTTACAGAACTTAATTTTTATTCTATTTGTGTTTAAATATAAGAGCAAAATCTTTTACTTCTAAACTAGAGGTCCTGGGATTAAACTTTTTTCATCTGAAGAGTAAAATAAAAGCAATAAACAGCTATCGTATACATATAGTTATAAGTATATAATTTATATAGTAACTTTATTCCATAGAAATAATGATATTTGTTTTTTGATAAATAAAGTTGGACATTAAATGGAGTGGGAACATTTGTTATTTAATGGAACTCTTACTGCATTACTTTGTAATGCAAATCCTTCCTTTTTTACTGTTATAACCTGGTTTATATATTGGATTTTAAAAATCAGGGCACATTGGCTATATGCCTAAGGGAATGGCTCCAATTCTGGTGTCTACCATGGAGCAGGCTGTCTCCACTGGACCTACCCAAAGAAGCTTCAGGCCTGGGAGGTAGCCACCTGCAGCAACTTGCTGTCCACAGTGGAAAGATATGAGCAAGATGTGTTGTCTCTGGTTTTGAGGAAGGTTTTGCCATAGGGTTCCCCCGTACCGCCTGTCACTCCTCATTGTGTCTTCTGGGTTCTTATCCAGCCATATTTCTGAGAGACTGTTTGACTTCTGTCAAACAGACTGTTTGATTGTTTGACTTCTCCTTTAGAGAAGGTCAGTTTGCCCTTCTCTAAAACAACTATTTGCCTACCTCTTAGGTTTTAAAGAGGATTAAATAAGATAAATGTGTGTGCACACCAGCTGAAAGAGGTCCAGCGAACTGCCATAGTGAATGCTCAATAAATGGCATCAAGATAGACCATGTGTACAGGAAGCAGCCAGAAAATAAGAGCAGGCAGTTTATAATGAAGTCTCTGGTTAAGATCTGGGAAGCACCATTTAAACTGTTAGGAAAGGCTTTGTACATGGAGCGTGAGGCCACTGGGCCTAAAGGGTGGTTAGCTCTGATGGCTTCCCTCGTTCCCTCCCTTCCCTTTTCCTCTGCTCTATACTCTCATGGAGCACTGATGTCCAAACAACTGGCTCTGTCCCCACACAATTGCTACACAGGGTGATGGCCTCACTGGGGAGGTCTAAAGGCCTGTGGAGCTGGGAAGACTTCCTTGTCTACTCTGGTCAATCAAGGGAGACAACAGGGAGAGATTTGCCAGATGGACAAGCAGCAAGAGAGTGTTCTCTGTTAGTGACTTCCAGAGAGCTGTGTGCACTGGGGTCTGGAAGACAAATTCCAGAACTTTAAACTTCTGTGTATAATGTGTACATTGCACCATTACCGAAATACATATATGTAATTTATAAATATGTAAATATACACAACCCATGTATGTCTCATCACACTTTTTGCTCATAGGAGTATATGCTTAAAAAATTGGGAACCACTGGTGGGCAGTGGGAACATGTATTGAAAAAGGGGTGAAAGGGAGCAGCCCTTAAAGGTGAGGAGGGAGCTGATTATTTCATAGGTCTAAAGGATGCATATAGTTCCTGAAATTTAGAACTCTAACTGTGCCTAGCCAAGGGATGAGCATGGTGAAGACAATCCTGACTTATTTGTTAGTGTTTAAGTGCCACCAACCCCCAAATCCATGTGCCATATTTTGCCACATTGCTGTCCTGACTTTCAGGCTCCTGTTTCTGAGTTCACAGGCTGTTGGGGCATGGTGAGGGTGAATTTCGACACAGTTGTGGGGGCAGATTTGGTGTTCTGGTTTAGGTAATATAAAATGCTAATAGGACTGCTTTATTAACCTAGAGAAGAAGCTATCAAGAAGTTGAGATTATTTATTTATGCTCTGAGCAGGGGTACAGTTTTTAGGAGCCACACCCATCTATAATAATGGTGAAGTTTAGTCAATATGTCTAGGGGGCTGTGGGGGCTGCAGAGGTAAGTAAAGATGGGTTGTTCTTCTGCCTTCACAGAATGTACTTCCTAGCCAGTGTTTTGAGTGTTAGGCACATGTCTGTGATAATCCCTGAAGCAGTAGGCAGGTTGGGTAGGAGGGAGCTCAGTCTCTGATGGTGTTGGAGGAAGGGGGCTATCACTGGGTATGTGTGGAAGGGCAAGAGGGTTCAGGACAGAATTTGTGTGGGAAAAATGGCAGTTGACAAGTGTCTTGGATGATAGGTGGGCAGAGACTGGAAGAGGAGGCCTTGCTGAAAGAGTGTGAATAATGGTGCGGGAGAACACAGAGGTGTGTTTGGTGAACAACAGTGTGTTGGAGGCACTATCATGGTTAGAGCGGAATAAATGTTAGCTGTGGTTATTGTGTTTATTGGGCTTTTTTGCATCATGGCCTTGGATTAGGGTGGGCAAGACTCTTTCTGCTGTGGAGTGTTTCATCCTATCTTTGCTGAAAACCAAATCCATAGCCAGGGACAGTGAAGAAAAACAAGCCTATTGGGACACCTACCTTCTATTTTCCCATAGAATTGCACCAAGACTCTATCTTGACTGCAGTTCTTTAATATTCAATATTTGTTCACATTTCACAAAACGGTTACATTTTATACTCAGTGCATTCACCCCAGGAAGCCAGGTTTATTACTTTCACATGGTTATAATAATACCTTCTATTTGTAAAACATTTGTAACCTTTTGAAATTCTTCACAGACAACAGCTAATTGATGAAATATACATAGAAGTATAATTGATGGATTTATTCCTTATTCTTTTCTAATTAGCTGAATGTAAAATTCAGGTAAGAGTTTAATGTGCAAAACCTAGTTGGAAAGAGATACCCTGTTGTTGTCTATGCCAAATTGCAGGATATTTTCTGGATGTTGCTGGGAGCAAGGCTTTGTATCTTGTTGGCTGACCAAGCATGCAGTCAACATATTTTTGAGGCAGTTTTGATAAAATTTTGATAATTTTATCATAAAGCACTAAAAATCATATTACTTGATTTTATTAAGTACTTTACTTTTTTACCATGATACTTCAGCCAAATTGTGCAGTCCTTTTCTGGGTAGCTTGTGAAGAACGGATATGTCAATGAAATGAAGTGTGAGGGCTGGCTGGGATGCATGCAGAGCCTGCTTTCATCTCTGTTTTTGTTATTAAAAGTCGGTTTGCTGGTGAGTTCTTTGTGACAATTAAGAAAATTGTTTTAGATTTGGCAAAGTTAGAGTATTGCCTGTTGTAGTGGAGGGTCGATGCTCCAGTACACCCTCCTCCAGCCTGCTGCGGGCCCTGTGTACTTGGGGCCTGTGTTCTTTTTTTCTAAAGCTGGTTTTGGCTTCTTCCATGGTATCAGTTTGCTCACCTGTGGGTGCAAGTTACTGCAAGTTCTGTCTCTCCCCTTATAGCATAATAGTTTCATTCCTAGTGAGGTTACATAATACTGTCCTGTGGCCTCAGCCTCTGGTGGTTTTCTAGTGGCTCCTTTTTATTCTTTGCTCAGCTTTTCACTGTTGTGGTCAGCTAGCTCCTTGCTGTTGGTGCCAAGTGTTCTGGCCCCTTCATTCCAAGTTGAAGTCATTTGCACTGCTGCCACACTTGCTCTGAAGTTTTCTGCTCTCTCCTCCATAGACCTCAGAAGTGCTTTATCTGGGCCCCTCTCACCAAAACCACATATGGAAACCCCTAGTCCAAGGGCAGGAAACCAGCCTCTGCATCCTAAGCTGATAGTAGTGACAGAGGCTGGGGAGTCTGCTGGGTTTTCCTGGTTTGGACACTAACAAGGGCATAGGTATCATTCAGTAGTTTAGGTAGCAAATGAAGTGCTTTCTGATCTGCTTGGGTCATTGGTTTGAGTGATCAATCAGGACTAAATACTTACTGTAGTTGCAGCAGTTAGGTGGAGAGCTTGTATGAACATGGCCCCACCTCTGAGAAAGGCATCTGCCCTGAAGTAAAGTGCTAATAAGATGCTCTCTTCCCATGGTTAGAAAGTGAGCTTGTTTTCTGTACCAGTTCAGATATACCCTCTGCTGTTGGATAACAGAGTGTGAACTGTGATCTGTTAACTTCATTGGCTTGTTCACTGTGGAGAGAAGATAGCAAGATGTCAGCAGGCCCTTCTGGCCTGTTCTTAGAGTTGACAGAGGGGAATGGCTAACAGAGCCCAGCAATGAAGCTGATGGTTGATTTTGAGAGCTGGCTAAAGAGCTGAGCATCCTCTTGTTTGAAATACTCTTGTCTCAGTCTCTGGTGTAGTGTTATGACAAGCTTCTTTAGGTAAGACATGTTTGGGTACTCAGTCTCCCTACCTCTGAGGGGCCCTGCCAAGTAAAGTTGCTGAAGCAGTATGATTGGTCTCAGAATTGACCTTCAGTGGGGTCTGTCAGTGAACCAGGAACCTTATACACATCTGTAAAACTTAAGAGGCAGAATTCTTTTGCATGTATTAAAATTGGTTATATATTTATATAGAGGATCTTGCTCCTGAACTCTGAACTCCAAACTCCTATCTACCCACATAGCAGGCATCTCCACTGTTCAGTGGGCATCTCCGGATCCCTCCATACCTGCCCCTGTACTGTCCCTTTGTCCCCCCCCCACCTGACCCCTTCCCTTCACTCTTGATTCCCTCACTGTCCTATCTCAGTAACAGCATTCCTGACTGCCCACTGATTCAGGCCACACATCTTGGAGCTCTCCTTGACTCTTTGTTTTCATAGTCCACCTCAGAACAAATCCTGTTTGTTCTATATTTAAAGTCTGCTCCATATCTGGTCACTTGTCATATCACTGCCACTAGTAGCTTGGTGTGACCCTTCCCCGGGCTCAGGCTGGGGCCTTCTAACTGGCTACTCTCCTCCCACTCCATACTTAGTCTCAGCCCAGCCATTCCAGTGATTGCACTGCTTCTCTTCCGGGCACAGTGGATTGGTATTCCCCCACATCTCTGGGGAAGTGGTGCCTCACCTTTCTACTCCTTTCCACAGGGCCTTTGTAGCTGCTCTGCTGGATTCCCACCTCCCACTAGGGGGCACACATCTGTCCTCTCTCTTCATTCAGGCCTCAGTTGTCTCTCCAAGGGAGGCCATCCCAGGCTATGGGCCCTGCTCAAACCCTGTCCTGGTTTTCTCTGGCTGTTCACAAGTGCTAGTTGTTATCTGTCCCACTGAAAAGTAAGTGCAGGAGGCAGGTGTGTAGCCCAGGGACCATAGCTGCATGACAGAGTGCCAGCAGCACTGGAGTCTACAGCCTGTGGAGGATGGTAGGCAGAGTGGGATGTGCAGGACTTGAGGCTCCAGGCTTAGGGTGAACCATCTTGCTCTCTCTTCCCTCTTGAAGCCTGGGTAGGGCACCAGTGGGTGCTGGGTGTCTCACCTTAGCCACCTGCGGTCAGGTCAGACTGTAGTGCAAATGGAACATCCCCCGGGGAAGGCTCAAGTGCAGCCACAGAAGTGAAAGTGATGAGCAGAAGTCAGGCAATCTCAGTGACATCAATTTCATTATATCTCTACCTACTCACTTACATTAACATTTTATTTATTTATTTTATCCAAAGTAAACTACCTACTAGGAGCCAGGAGAAGCAATTGTTTTCCAGACCAACTCTTGGCCTCCATCTTTCCTCCCTAAATTTAACTTACCAGCTAAATAAATCATTTATAAATTAGACATTATCTATATGTTTCAAACAAATTTATTAAACTGTAGAAGATCAGATTTATTGATTTTATGAAAACATTATAGGTAGATGTTTTCTTTTTAGATAAGCTTTTTCTGTTATAGTCTTGGTTCCCCTGAGCTATTTTCTTTTGCTCTTAGGATCAGGAAAAGTTCAAAGTAAAGAAAATTATGGTCTGTGAATCTTTTTTTCTATCTTTTCACAGAAGACAGTTTGACACTTACCTGGAAGTGTAACTCATGTTCTAGACATCTGACCGTGATTTTATTCTATGTATTAGGTAAGTCTTGTTGAGTTTTATTTTGTTGTCTTGGATTTAAAAAATCACAAGAATAAGTTCCCCCTGGATCAAGGGGAAAAAACTTGAATAAGGCAGATTCCAAATTGTGGTGAGTAAGACAGCAGTTTACTTTAATGGTTTTCAGCCTACATATGATAGATCTTTAGAACCTAACTTTGCGTGCAGATGAGGTCAGCCTTGGATGGGTCAAGGTATTCTCTTCCCAGGGTTTTCTTCAGCCTCCCATCCAGAATACACAACTGCAGTCCTTTTCTGAGCAGTGATGGCACATGTCCATTCCAGGTTGAATGGGGTTTCTCAAGGGCTGAGCACTGCTAGCCTTTGTCTCTGTTAGCAATCTCTGGTTTGAATGACACAGGTGCACATGCCTCTATGTAGAAAACAGACTGGAAGAATTGTACCAGACCGTTAAAAATAGATGTCTCCAGTGTAGCACTATGGGTGATGTATAAAATCCTATCTTTTTGTCTTTTCCATATTTCCCACAATAATCATTTTTAAAAACTGTGAGAACACTCCCAGTTTTTTACTTCCTTAGGGTGTGGAATAAAAAGTCAGTTTCTGAAAAATTGTGGAAAACAATTTGATGTGTGTCTTTTTAAGCATTTTGGAAGTGTGGATAAAGTTGCTATGGGGATGGTAAGGTTTACTCTCTACAGAGTGGTTCCTTCTGGCACCACATGTTCTCTGAGCAGAGCTGGGCAGTCCTACACACAGCAGAATTTCTCATTAGATGTGGAAATAATTATGCATAAAATCTCGATTTCATCTTTTTTCCTCCTAAATCACCAGTTAGCTTTGATCTAGTAGCAGGAACACACTTCTAAACTGCATTCCACAGCCTCTGAGTGCTCCGTGCCTCTTGTCACCTGTGGGACTTGGTGCGTCACTACAGTTGAAAGGTTTCTGTCTTCACTGGTGGAGTGGAGATACTTCCTAAACAGGATGCACAGTGTTGTACTTTTATCACACTTGGAGTTAATTTTCTTTTGCAGACATGCCAACATATCTTTCAGCGGCGCTGTTTTTATTTTCCTTGGCTTTGCCTCTTAAATTTGTGGTTTCCTTCCCTTCACGCACTTGTTTAGAGCTAGTATGGTCCCATCTCAATTAGAGATATGGTTATAACATTCTCTGCTGGGGTCATGGTGGGGACATAATGCATGAAAATAAAGTTCAGTTTTACATTTCATCAAGAATGAAATAAAGTGATAAGAAAAACAGTAGGCTTTTTCTTTGTTCGGAGGTCTTTGGTCATCACTGGAGGCTTGTAGGGCTAATGTAGTGGTAGAGAGGCTGGCTTGGGGATTTCTGGCAGCCAGCTGGTTGGAATTGGGTAGCATTCTCAGAACCCTGGTTGGGGCACTGAACTATAGGGCCCCCCATGTTGTTGCTGCTTTTGTTCTCATTTTGTAAGGGTGGTCTTAGGCCAGTCTGAGTTTGGTTTCCCTCATCTGGAAAATAGGGGTGGCAACACTCGCCTTCTCTGGATTATTGTGAGAATTGGAGGAGGACCAAATTCTTATAAGATGCATTGCCCCCATGTCCCAGTGACCCCTGGTCACTGGGTGTCCAGCCCACTTTCTCCATTTATCTGGTGGCATATGGCTTCATGAAGCCACTGTGGATGGCCTGTTAGCACTTAACAGTTTCTAGTTTAGATGCCTGATACGAAGGAAGGTTACTGTGATTGATGGGCTCCTGGACAATGACCGATTGGGATGCCAATTTGTTTCCTTGGAGACAAAGGAGATAATTTCACTCTTAGCCTCAGGGTCAAGTGGAACTAGGGTGATTCTGCTTCATGGAAAAAGCAGTTGGAAGATATTCAGGATGTATAGATTCTTGTTCCCAGCTCTGGCCCCAAGTAGCATTGTTCGCTGAACAACTCAGAATCCATTTTTTTTTTCAGTGGACACTATTGCTTGACTTCCCTGGACCAGACATTGTCATTCAGAGAGTTGCTGGTCAGTTAAGAGAAAAGGGTGAAGAAGAGAGATGTTGCCATTGATAGCCCGTGAACCTGGGTTCCGACCTGTGCTGAAATGGACACCAGAATGTCCTGGAGAAACTAAATGAGATGAAGACTGGGGTGGTGCCGCTTGTGGTGCCCGCACATAGCAGGTGCTACAGGACTGGTGACTGCTACTGTGTTTGGAACATGTGGCTGTCAGACTACTCTGCAAAGGCCAGTGTGGATGGGTCCTGCTTATGACCCACAGCCTCTGCTCCCACCCCAGCAGAGCTCATGTGGCAGTTTCCTCATGGAGTGTGAACATAAAGATTGCTGCTTGTAACTGAGTGTTGGACAGAACATTTGTGTCCGGACTCAGCTTGCTGGTGGGGGGCCTAATTGGAGGGGAAAGGATGCTGGAAATGTCAATGCTGCGAATCCAATGAGATTAGCCTACTGAGCTTCAGGATTGGAGAGGACAGAGGGTATTGAAGGGAGCACTTAGAAGTTTAAACAGACTGAGTTCTCCCTTTTCACCTACCTCTTGTGTAAGGATTTCAATAGCTCCTAAATGAGCTGGTGTGAATGGCAATAGTGCCTTTTTAAATTCTAATTAGCTTGTGAATTAACTAGTATGAATTTTTATTAGTTAGGATGAATTACAGGTATTAATGATTGTACAGTCTTAGAGCAAATGAAAGTAGTTGTTACCCAAAGAGGTTTTTGGCCTGCTGTCCACCAAGGGACTTTAAATAATCTCAGAAAGGCTGTGTTTTCTTTTCATTCTTTATTCTTTAAATCCCGGACTGGAGCAGTGTGGAATGGAGACAAGACATGGGTGCCTCACTATCCTTAGTGGCCCTGTGAGGCGAGAAACTGTGGACTCTGCCTTGCAGCTGAACCAGCTATGCTACTAGAAGAGGCTGTGGGTGTAGCTTTCCCTCTCAGGGCTGACTGTGAGTGGTTCTGGATCTGCAGTAGGTGACACTGCAATCCCTCCCCAGCTTCTTTTTGACCAATGAAATTCATAAGCATGTCACTATATTTTGGCCTTGCTGTGTTTCAGACACCCTTGCACATAGAAACTTATTATTAAGTAGTTAAATAGGGTAGTGTTTTAATAGATCTAACTCAGACCCATTTCAGCAATGGAGGTGGGTCATACACATGGTCAGGGTGCTTTGGAACAAGTCACAGGTTCCTTTAGAAACAGAGCACCTGGTATGTCCTAGCATCATGTGGTCCAGCTTGCTGAAAGCTCAGCTCCTCATGTTGCAGGTGCTCTGAGCTGCTGGCTCAGCTCCCTGCCACCCCCCGTCTAAACATGCCCATGCCCTTCTCCAGGCCTGCACTCCCTATACTCTTGGCCTTCCTCTGTGTTCTTGGATTGGGAGGCACCACTTCACTTTCCCTCTTCCCATGAGGCTCTCTAAGGACATGTCAGCATCCTGGGTTGGCAGGTTCCCTTTCTCCCCAGTGTTTCCTTGGAGTTTGATTTTAGTGTGCATGTGTACGCTTGCACTTGTGTTTGCATGCATTGTGTGTGCATGTCCCACCTGACTTACCCATAGAACATGAACTCTGAGCCATCAAGGTTTATACTGTGTACTTTTATATTCCAAGTGCTCAATATAGGGTTTGCTACATAGTAGGTCTTTGTGACTCTGGGGAGAATGGATAGGTGAGACAGCAGCCTTGGGGAAGATCGCAGTTTGTGATCTAGTCTCATGTTTCTTGCCTAAAGAATTGGCCTGCTTTGGTAAACCTGGTCCCCTACTTCTTTATATGTATCCTGTTGGGAATGCCATGTGGCACTGTGCTAGTTTATAAGGACCCAAAGATGCATAATGTTCAATACTGGCCACATAGTTCTTCCTGTGTGATTTCTTATCATTATCTATGTACGCACAGGTTCAGCCAGAATATTGTTCAGGGGCAACCACACAGAGACTCTTCAGCAATTCTAACATTCAGCATCAACTCTGAAAAAAAAGGTTAATACTTTATGAACTGAGATGTGGCAGAGATCTCTCCTAGAGAGAGACATAACCTTGGTTAAATCAACTTCAGCGTAGTTGGACTCTGTATGTGTCTGAGGGCCAAACACTAGGAGCAGAGGAAGCAGTAGTGGTGAATTCACTCCCTGATGCCTCCTTGCCAAAAGGCTGTATTTGTGGGCCTCATAGCCTCTTAGGCTGATCGACCAATTGGATGATGTAGGGGTGGCCCTCCAAATGTTGGTGTCCCTGTTGAAGTGGTGCCACAGTGTGCTCTTTTTCAGTAGCAAAATGCTGTTCCTCCACCACCGCCCTCCTGTTCACCTCATGATGGAGTCTTCTGGAGGCTGGTTTCATGGGGCATTATTAAGGATATCCTACACCAAAACTTCTGCTGAGGTTGAGGTTTTAAAGACAACTACCCCATTGTCTGATGTATCTTTGTATTTTACTGTAATTAAAAATAAATGTTGCAGGGTTGACATCACAGAGCCTCTCATGTTCCACAGAGGTCAGAGTAGGTTGGGTTTCTGGACTTAATACATTGTTACCTTCTGCCACTTGCAGGAGACAGGATGAGTTTGTTATGACATATGGTATGGCTCCTGTTGCCTGGTCCCCTATACTGTGGGAATAGGACTCAGGCCCCAGGGTCTATTTCATCATTATGTTTAAGAGTAGCTTAGAGGCCCTGGCTGGTGTAGCTCAGTGGATTGAGTGCAGGCTTGCGAACCAGAGGATTGCAGTTCGATTCCCAGTCAGGGCACATGTCTGGGTTGCAGGCCAGTTCCCTGCAAGCTGTTTCCCAGCAGGGGAAGCACTAGAGGCAACCATACATTGATGTTTCTCTCCCTCTCTCCTTCCCCTCTAAAGATAAATAAATAAAATCTTTAAAAAAAAGAGTAGCTTAGACCTGTGTCTCTACCAGAAAATATGTCCCATAGGAGATCTCGGATTCATTCCTTGTGTACCAGTTGCATACTATTTATTGTTTTCTTTACGTGTGCCCAGCTTTCTTCCAGAAGTGATTTAAAAACAGCTGGAAAATACATATAATATTAAAAAATAATAAGATATTGAGGGTTTTTAGGAAAAAGAAAAATATGAGTTTGAACATAGCTTTTTTTTCATTCTGTATTTTATTACTGAAATACATTGTCCTACTCATCCCATCCCATGCACAATAAAAATCTCACCCAGATCCCCCATTCCATCCCTTCATCCCCAGGCAGTCCTGCACAAGTGCTCTAGAATTCACTTCCCACTGGACATTTTGGAGTGTGTCCATTGGATAGCCAAGTGGAAACCACCTTGGGGCCTTGGTGGAGAAAAGCAGAGGGGGCTTCAGGGAACCCCAGGAGGAGCTTATTTGAGGGCCTTGGCTACTTGCTTATGGGCCAGCTTGATCTCATCATCATCTGGACAGGTGGAGGTGAACTCTTCCTGCATATAGGCATTGCATAAGTAGTGATGCACCCTGCAGAACACTTCAGTAGTGGAGAATCCACGGTACTTCTTACACAGCACCTGTGCTATGTGGAGCTTTGGCAACAGGTTGCAGTCAGCCAGAGTGAGCTCATTTCCATTCAGAAACTTCCTCTGAGGGATGCCTTCATGCTCAGCACTAGTCTTATCCACTTCTTCTGGGAGGAGGGGTGTCAAGTAATTGTCTAAAACTTTCAGGGATTTCGGGAGCCTCTTCTCCAGATTATCATTGAGTGCTGGGTTTGAATTCTTGATGTAGGCAGAAAATTTGGCAAATATGTCCTAGGCCAGCTGTGTTTGATTCAGGGTTCAGAGCTGCCAGCCTGCGGTACCTGGGAAAGGCACAGCTCTGCCTCCAGAAATTCCTCAGTCTTGTTGGTGTCTGTGTGCACTTCAGTGCCATACAGCAGAAACGGGAGCTGCCCCTCTGGGCTCAGCTTCTGCACCATCTTGGTTTGCCTCTTGGTGTTAATGGCAGTGATGTTGAAAGTGACTCTCTTGAGCCAGACCACCATGAATAGTCTCTGGGAGAATCTTGGCCTCATCACCACCAGCCTTCCTGAAAAATTCAGGTTGTTCTTCAGCCATGATTGCAATGGGGTGAACATAGCTTTATTAACCAAAGTACTTCAGACATACTGACTTACTAGAATACTCTATTTACAAGTGTCCAGGGACGGCCATTGAAACAATTTTGTTTAAATTTTAGTATTTGAAGTTTTATGTAAGAGAAGTAAATTTTAAGTCACCCCAATACCAGTTTAGATTTTTTTTTACAGGTAAGCTATTAAGGTTTTAGGATGTGCTTCAAAGAGGTTGTTTAGTTTCTACTGTTGTTTTGGTTCAGGGCTGGAGCTGTGTTTGGGTGATTAGTGACATCTAAGTATGGTAGGGCAGGCAAGAGCTTTGCAGACTTTATTCAGATGTAGAAAATAACTAAATGCAAAAGATGTGGTGTTTTATTAACTAATAAAATAATTTTCAAGTAGTTTATTCTAATCTCTTCTAACAGTTTTCTTTGGCTTTCTTCTTAGCTCTGACCCCACTTGTCCCAACTTAATTTCAACTGTTAAACAGTTAGAGTCCTTGTTAGCTCCAAATTATTGCTGCCACCTTGTTTAGTCATCTCATTTATCAGGAGCAGCAGTGCTGGCAGCTCTTTTGCCTTCTCTCCATTTTGCTGGGAACATCTCATCTGCTTGTCTGGGAGGCTTAGTTAGCTCTCCTGGTGCGTGCCCTCTGCCTTTGTACCTTTGTTTCCACAGCTCTCATTTCTGCATTCCCTATTTGAGTGTCTCTTAGCTGTCTTTCATGCCAGAAGCCCTTGCAGGGGTGTAAAACCTGTGGTCCGCAGTCTGCATGCAGCCAGGATGGCTATGAATGAGACCCAAAACAAAACTGTAAATTTACTTAAAACATCATGAGTTTTTTTGTGATTATTTGTTGTGATGTATTTAATGTGTGACCTAAGACCACTTTTCTTATTCTAGTGTGGCCCAGAGATGCCAAAACATTGGACAACCTTGCTTAGATTCTTTGTGTCTGACTCTAGCTGATCTTAATTCTCTAAGCAGGCCATGTTTTATTTGAGAGTACTTTACAACTAAGGGTAAGGCCACCTTGCCATGGGCCCATGTGATGTGGAGCTGTCCCGGGACTCTGCCACTTCTGGATCTTACCCTTGGGCACTTACTAATTTCTATATAGTGTGCCTAAGATTGTCTCTCAAACTGTGAAGAGGGAAAATGAGATGAGGTAGTACTTCAAACTTTATATCAGTATCCATTCACCCATCCATCCATCCATCCATCCATCCATGCTTCTGCTAACCCACCTACCTACCCATCTATTCATCTGCCTCACCCAACTCCAACCACCTGTCACTTATTAAATTTAATTGCCAAGCACAAATTATGTTAATGGTAGGGTAAATGTCCCCAGTTTTCTTATTAATTGTCTCTCTTTTTGTTATTATAATTATTAATTAATCTTTGAGATCTTTAAAAAATATTTATTGATCCATATGAAGTATATCATGGTTAATATAAAAAATATTTATTGATCCATATGAAGTATATCATGGTTAGTATATCATGGTTAATATCATGATATGAAGTATATCACTTTTACATCTGTAAGTGTTGACATCAAAAGCTTAGGTCTCTCTTGTCTTCTCTGACACACCACACACTCACACTCATTCTTAAACATGTATATGTACACATGAGCCCAGCAAGTTTTATGTTGGAATGTTCCTCTGTGAAGTTTGAACTTCTAGCACAGCTTATGAATGGACCCTATGGTTGGAATTTTCTATCTTCATGGGCATGTGAGAACACTCATTTTAACATCAATTATAATGAATATTTAGAAAGTGTGTATCATATGTCTCATTAGCATTTTTGATAGACACTTTGTAAGAAGCAAATGAAAGCATGTGAATTAACTGTTCTGTGGACCATATCATTTTTGGTGGCATTACTTCTTATACACATAAGATTGTTGGAGAGGACTACCATCTCTCTCAGTTTAGTGGACATTTGGTGCAGGTGATGGGTTAAGTAGTGAATGCCATAAGAGAAAAATCTTGAGAACTGATTTTGGAGGTGAATGGTATACATGAAGCATGTATGTAAGAGTGTCTCTGACTTTTCAGGATCACATGACCTGGTCCTTGAAAGAGTACCATAGCTGTCATCCAGCCAGTCCTGAACCCTAGGAAAGGGCTGACTAAATGCTGTGCCCAGAACTATGGTGGGGGGAGGCATGCTTAATACTACCCTAGCCTCACCATCAGTGAATCCTTATGAAATTCCAGGGATGATGGGCAGATTTGAGGTGAGACAGGCAAGTGAGGGCAGAGTTTTTTTATTCATACATTAGATTTAAGTGATATCAATTTTGGAGGCTGGTTGAAGTTTTTGCTGACTTTATTCTACTTGAAAATACTGCTACTCCTAATTAATATTCACATAAGATTTTCCAAATGCTTACTATACAGATATTATTATCATCCAAACGTCTTTCCAAATGGGGAAACTAAGACTCAGAGAAGTTAAGTGACATGCCCAAGTCACAGGGCAAGAAGGCGTTAGCTCTGTCCCTCAAGCCCACACCTTGGACCCTGGCTCTATGTCTTGTTATGGCCCACACATCCTTAAGGAATGTGGACAGCAAAATTTCTCTTAAGAGAATGACAGCAGACAGGATGCTGATTTCTGTTTCAAGAGGGGCAAAGAGAAACTGTTTCCAAGATGGCAGCTCCTGACCTTCTGTTGGGGGTTAGGGAGCAAAGGCCCTTATAGTTCTGCGCAGATGTGAGTGGGCCTGTTCTTTACCTCCTTTCCTCTCTGGCTTCTGCATCTGCTTGCCTGTGGTCTGGTGAGAGGACTGAGGGACAGGGTGTGCAGAATGCTGAGCATTATGTCCAGCATGTAGTGGGGCTCAGGGTTCAGAACCCTGTTATTGTCAATTCCTCTCTTCTACAGAGTGGGTCTGTGCCTGCAATTATAAGACAATCACAGACAGATGTTATCAGTAGATGCTCAAGAGCAAATGAAAAATGCATTGTTAAAAATGGATTCAATGTGTGAACAAAAATTGGCATGGAGGTTGGGTCTCTGTATTTTTAGAGGCTAATTATAGTACATGAACAATGATAAATTCATATAACCCATACTGTCTAAAGTCACCATAAAGCACTCACTAAAGAGCTAATGTCATAGGATGCTGTGCTGGCAGCCTAAACAGGTCTAGGTGGTCTGTGGCTGTTACTGCCCTCAAGCTCCACCTATTTTTGCTCATAGTGAGGTCAGACTGTGCCCATTGGTCTCGGCCCCGAGGTCCTCAGCTGCCTAGCCCCTGGTGATGTGCATTTGGTATGTTTCTGAAGCCCGGAGTTTGGGACATGTGTGGAGTTCTCCCATGCCTTTTCTAGAACACTGACAGAAATGTGTGGTCAGGTTTCTGTAAAGAGCTTCATTGGTGAAGAGGAGAGGGAGAGCAGTTTAATATTGATGGGTGTTCAAACACCGAGGTTATGCGTAATTGCTTCCCTTTAGTTGGCCTCTGCATAATATAAAATGCAGATACTGCAGCATTTACAGGGTGACTAACCTGCTGCTTACTGGCTGAAGTAGGTATTAGAGTGGGCCAGGTTCAGTGCAGAAACGTGATCCACAGTGATAAAATTCCCCATTTTGTCAGTCTCTTGGAAAATTGGCCTCCAGAGACGAAGTGTGGAGTGAGCTGTGTCAGAAGCTGTCTTCTCCTCTTGCAACATTCAGCTAGTTTATTTGGAGGAATTGGTGGTCTGCATTCTGACATTTTCTTAGTCACACTTAGAAGTGAGAACATTTGCACATGACAACCTCAGGATTAAATAGTCTTGCAGGTAGATCACAAATAATCAATAAAAAGATTTTAAAAACTAAATTTTCTTCATGAAAGTCTCTGATGCCTTTTTATTTATAAGTATTTGAAAAAATTTTTTCCTAACAGCAAATGCCTATGTGTTCATTGAATACAGGTACGGTGGTAGCATGCTATGGACAACACAGACCAGGGATAAAGTCAAGACCTTTGAAGGTAATTAGAAACACATCCATTATCACTGATAATCTTTTTAAAAAATTTTAAATTTATTGTATTTTTTCCTTTACCATTTAGTCTCCTTATACCCCCTGCTTCAGCAATCACCACACTGTTGTCCATCCATGAGTCCTTTTTCCTTTTTGCTCAGTCACTATACCCTTATCCACCACACCCCACCCCTCTGCTACTAGCTGTCATCTGCTCTCCATCTATGAGTCTGTCTCTGTTTTGCTTGTTAGTTCAGTTTGTTCATTAGATTCCACACATGAGTCAAATCATATGGTATTTGTCTTTCTCTGACTGGCTTATTTCACTTAGCATAATGTTCTCCAGGTCCATCCATTATTGTTGAAAAGGTTAATTTTTCTTTTCTTTTTTTTATGGCTAAGTACAATTGCATTGTATAAATGTCCCTTAGTTGTTTTATCCACTCATCTATTGATGGACACTTAGGCTGCTTCCATATCTTGGTGATTGTAAGTAATACTGCAATGAACATAGGGGTGCTTATGTTCTTTTGAATTAGTGTTTTGGGTTCCTTCAGATATATTCCCAGAAGTTGAATCACTGGGTCAAAAGGCAGATCCATTTTTAATTTTTTGTGGTATCTCCACAGTGCTTTCCACAGTGGCTGCACAAGTTTGCATTCCCACCAACAGTGCAAAAGGGTTCCTCTTTCTCCACATCTTCGCCAGCACTTGTTGTTTATTGATTTATTGATGAAAGCCATTCTCATAGGTGCGATGTGGTATCTCATTGTGGTTTTAATTTGCATTTCTCTGATGGCTAGTGGCATTGATTTCTCTGATGATTAGTGATGTTGAGCATTTTTCATATATCTATTGGCCTCTTTAAGGAAGTGTCTACTCTGGTCCTTTACCCATTCTTTCATTGGGTTTTGTGTTTTTTTGGTGTTGAGTTTTATAAGTACTTTATGAATTAAAGGAAACAAAAGAAAAAATAAACAAATGGGACTACATCAAACTTAAAAGGTTTTGTATAGCAAAGGAAAACAACAGAATAAAAAGACAATCCACAGAGTGGGAAAACACGTTTGCCGATCTGGTAAGGGGTTAATATCCAAAAATCACCGACAGCCTTTTATTTATTTATTTTTGTATTTATTTATTTATTTTCATTTGGTACATTTTTTTTGTATATATGTATGTATGCATTTATTTATTTATTTATGTTCTACTGATAGTCTTTTAAATTCCATCCAGGCTAGATTTTCAGGGGCCAGGAGGTAGTAGTTACTATGAGTTATGTTTTCAGGCTGCAGGATTTTAAAATCTATCTTTCTCCTTTCACTAAACTACTGCTTTTTAAAAAGTTTTCTTTTATTGTTTTGAAATAATTGTAGATTTATAGAAGAGTTTCAAAGATAGTGCAGAGAGTTCCCATGAGGCTTTCATCCAACATCCCCTAATACAGGCATACCTTGTTTTACTGTGCTTCGCTTTATTGCACTTCACAGATGTTGCATGTTTACAAATGGAAGGCAAGGCCTTCCAGTTGTAAAATGATTAGAACTTACTTTATTTCAACAGTCACTTTATTGAGGTGGTCTGGAACTGAACCTGCAATATCTCCTAGATGTGCCTGAATTAATATCTTACTCAACCACAGTACACTTATCACTTTAGCATTGTGATAATTTGATCACATATCAAAACTAACTAAAACCACAGACTTGATTTGCAGTTAGCCAGTTTATCTATTAATGCAATTTTTTCTATTCCTGGATCCAATCCAAAGCCACATTGCATTTAGCCACTACTCTTTTTTAATCTTTAAGCAATTTTATTTTTGACCTTTTATTATGGTAAAATTTCAAACTTTATAAAAGTGGAGAACAATATAGTGAATCCCATTCTCAGCAGTGATCAACATGCCTAATCTCACTTGTCCCCAATAATTATCATTCCCTATTGAATAGGCTGGCCTTGAACCAGTGATCATGACCTTCATCAGTACCCTTCACATGTTTGTATACAAGGCCTGCTGAGTTTGTACCTGGTCATGTATTTGTTGTGTGTTGTCATGTGATCCCTTCCTAATGCTCTGGAGTTGCTACTAAGAGCACTTTAAAATGAGAATTGGATTTGATCTTTTCCTTGCTGTCTGCCTGAGTTTCCAAGAAAAATGTTCCAAATACAAGGGATTTGCAATAGGATCTGTTGGCACCCGTGGTCACTCCAGAGCCTTTCTTGATTGCTTCTAATTATGTCTACTATTCAATGTTACCCAGTGGTTCAGAAAACTTCTCTAACTCCAAATAATTTTATTTTCTTGAGAATATGTGATTGTAAGAGCCAGACTAAAGCACAGAGTCTAAAGCACAGGAGAACAACTGCCTTACTTTCACATTCTACCTTCCTTTGGTCCCAGAATCCTTATGTCACCCTTGGATGACAAAATGTTGAAAAATTCCCCCTTACTCCAAATGTACTATTTTTCTTGGTAGAGTTAACTTTCTTTTTCTAGTTATTGGCTTGTGTATGTCCTATTCATTACCCCAATTAAGCATTATCTGGTAGTAGTGTGTTGAATGAATGATTGAACTACCAGCCTACTAATAAGTAGGTTAATGGATTTAACTGCTAAAATGCTCACACCAAAGTGTTAATAGCTATTAATATTTTCACTATTGACCTCTTGGGGTTATTTAAATTTTAAGAAGAGGCATTCTTGAGAACAATTATATAACCCAAATGTGGAAAGTCTGATGCCTTTCTTACTGGTCTTTAAAACAAGTTAATGGTTTATATGAAAACTCAACCCTGGTGACTAAACAGGCAAATTGAAAAAACTGTTTTGTTTGTGGTTTAAAAGGAATGATTGTTTGAAGGGGATTTGGATTTTACAGTGAGAAAAAATAGGTGTTGGAATGTCTCCTCATATTGGAATAATTCTGCTTGCTGTAAATGAAGTTTTTAATGAAAAATTGACATCATGGTTGAAGCTCAAATGCAAATACACACTCATTCCTTCAATAGTTATTTACTGTGCACACTCGGCCGGGTGCTAGGGAGCCAGGGGAAGGCCATGGCCCTGTGTCTAACCAGGCGACTGGCCTCAGGGTGACTTTGATACACACATGATATTATTCCAGTAATCGTTGCGAATATTATTACAATTACAAATAGAAACCCAAGACTGATGACAGAGTTGGCACTACAGTTATTCCATTGGAAATTGGTGGGCCGTTGGGGAAGTGTCAGACATTGGGATTGCCATAGATGTGGGTGACAAGGTTTGACCTCTGTATTTAGTCATCTTAAGAATTAGGAATTAGGGGACTTCCGTTAAGATGGAGGCATAGGTGGATGTGCCGTGCCTTCTCACACAACCAAGTTTAGAGACAACTAAATATTAGCAACAGAAAACACAGCCAGAACACGGAAAATTGAACTTTTCGGAAGTCTGTTAATAACAAATTCTTCAGCCTGACTGTTAAGGGGCGAAACCAGCGGCTGGTGAAGCAGGATTGCACAGGAGGTCTTGGTCAGCCAGACTCAGGCGCGGAATCCAGACGTGGGGAATCCAGGCGCAGGGTTGGACCTAGTGAGCGACCGAGTGAGCCACCAGGCGAGCGACCGAGGGGGAGACAGCAGGGGGAGACAGCAGGGGGAGCGGTGCCTGTTGACTGTGGTCGCACATTTGTGCGCGGGCGGACAGGCGAGGGAGTGGGCGGTTGGACCAGGGCCCGCGGTCCCGCTGCTAGCGGCAGTGGAGGGCGCCACCATTTCCCTGCTCTGACCCCACCTCCACATACAGCTTCATAACCCAGCGACTCTGAGTGGCCTGGCCCAGGTGAACCACCTAAGACGCTAATCCTCACCCAGCTGTGAGAAACAGCAGAGGGGGTCGCCATTTCCCCTATCTGACCACTCCCCCACATACAGCGTCACAACCCAGTGACCTGGGAGTCCAAGGCACCGCTTCTCACACTTAAAGGGCCAGAACAGACCAAAAATGTCGCAAGATCTCAAAGCCCCAGAGCCCATAGATCTAAGCAATGAAGAAATAGCAAAACTCTCAGACGCACAGTTTAAAACACTGGTCATCAGGATCATCACAGAACTGGTTGATTATACCCACAAATTAGACAAATATATGAAGGCGAAACTAATTGAAATGAATGGAATTGCACAGGACACCAATAGCAATGAAAAGGAAACTGGGACTCAAATCAATGGAGTGGACCAGAAGAAAGCAAATAATGGCCAAACAGAAAAGAGTCAAGAAGCAAGAATTCAAAGAAATGAGGAGAGTCTTAGGAACCTCCAGGACATCTTTAAATGCTCCAACATCTGAATTATAGGGGTACCAGAAGGGGGAAAGGCACAGCCACCAGTGGAAAACTTATTTGAACAAATAATAAAGGAGAATTTCCCCAAACTGGCAAAGGAAATAGACTTCCAAGAAATCCAGGAAGCTCAGAGAGTCCCAAAGAAGTTGGACCCAAGAAGGAACACACCAAGGCACATCATCATTACATTAGCCAAAATTAAAATGAAGGAGAGAATCCTAGAAGCAGCAAGAGCTAAGGGGACAGTCACCTACAAAGGAGTCCCCATCAGACTGTCAGCGGATTTCTCAAAAGAGACCTTACAGGCAAGAAGGGGCTGGAAAGAGGTATTCCAAGCCATGAAATCCAAAGACCTACAACCAACATTGCTCTATCCAGCAAAACTTTCATTTAGAATGGAAGGACAGGTAAGGTGCTTCTCAGATAAGATCAAATTCAAGGAGTTCATCATCACCAAGCCCTTATTATATGAAATGTTAAAGGGACTTAGCTAAGAAAAAGAAGTTAAAGAAACATGAACAGTGAAAGGACAACAAACTCACAGTTATTAACAACCACACCTAAAACAAAAGCAAACTAAAAGGACAGCTAGATCAGGAGTGGAAACATAGAAATGAAGATCTCAAGGAGGGTTAGCAACAGGGGAGTGGGAGGAGGAGAAGGGGGGGAGAAGGTACATAAAATAAGTAGCATAGACAGTAGATAGAAAATAGATGGGGGGGCAAGAATAGCATGGGAAATATAGAATCTAAAGGACTTGAGACACATGGTCATAAACTAAAGGGGGGTAATGGTGGGGATGGGGAGTTAGGGTGGAGGTGAATGAAGGGGGGAATAGAACAACTATAACAGCATAATCAATAAAAAAATTAAAAAAAAAGAATTAGGGATTAGCCCTGGCTGGTGTAGCACAGTGGATTGAGAGTGGCCCTGAGAACCAAAGGATTGTGGTTTGATTCCCAATCAGGGCACATGCCTAGGTTGTAGGCCAGTCCCTGGCAGGGGAAGCACAAGCGGAAACCATACATTGATATTTCTCTCCTTCCCTTCCTCTCTAAAGATAAAAAAATAAAAATCTTTAAAAATTAAAAAAAAGAGAATTAGGAACTACAGGTAGATATTGATACATTTTCTGTGTACCTGTCACATAAAAATATGGCATTGTATCTCTGGGGTATCACATGGTGTCTTCATAATCCATTAGTCTACACTTAACAGAGTGGAATCTCAGAGATGATTGTAACGTATGTGGAAAATATCTGGATTATATAAAATGTGTGAAGATTGTTGAAAAATGTGGAGGAGCCAGGTGGGAAACTAAGGTGGCACTGGCTGATCTTATAATTAAGGCTTATGTGAAATGTTTAAAAACAGCCCTTGTGCCATCTTTGTTCATATCCACAGTCATGTCTACAGAAGGATGTCTGAATTTGGGCCCTCTGCAGAGAGGCAGTGCTTGTTCCAATGCTAGTATACAGGGTGGGTCAAAAGTAGATTTACAGTTGATCATATGGAAAATAATATAATAATTAATAAATAATAATATGAGAATAAACTCTGTTTTACATATTCACAACTGTAAACTTACTTTTGCCCTACCCTGTAGTATCCATGTAGTCTTGTTAGGCTCTTCTTCTGTTTATTTTGTGTCTTGGAATTTTGCTAGTTTTCCAAACCACTGCCCACACCACGAGGACTCAGGGAACAGATGGCATGAGACAAACGCATGTTGGGGCAGCCAGGGCAGCCAGAGGTCCAGTGTCCAGGCCTGCACACTTCTGGCATACTGCCTCCCCAGTGCCTGCTCCCAAGTCTGAGTGATCTCTGGGCTCTCTGGCCAACCTGAGCTCTGGATGAGGGGTCCAGACTGCTGCCACAGGAGCAAAAAGGAATGAGAAGTTTCAGGTATTTGCATCTACTGAGGACACAAGAGAGCTGTGGTGCTTGGGAAATAGGTAGCAGAAGCCTGAGCCTCCAAGTGACCAGAGGCAGTCCTTGTGAGGGAATCCTATGTTTCTGCATGCTTAGACTGTTTACTGGATGTGTCATTGACTCCATTTCTTTTTTCCCCACCCCCTGATTCCATGCAGCCCCCCTTGGTTTTGTGTCAATGTGTCCTTTATAGTTGTTCCTGAATTTCTTTATAGAGATGTAATATAAATTCTAGGAAGAGTAATATTTTAAAAATCTTTTTTTACTTCATCCCTGCTCTGCTTCCAGGAATTTCTAATCCTGCAGGGTAAACTAGCATTAGGATGGTTAGTAAATCTTTCTTATGATGGATTTAGTAAGAGCAGGCAAGGTTCTTTTTGGGACTGATTATGACACATGGTATTAATGGAGGTTGATTTGTGAAGGGAGGTACAGTGTCTATTATCTTGTAAATTCTGCAGAAAAAAAATAAATAAAATGGAGAGGCACAGAGACACAGGAAAAAGGAATGTAGTCAATGAAAACAGAAAAACCTGCAGTTCAGAATAGTTTTTCTCTATCCTCTTAAAGGCCTAACAGTCAGAATCAATCATATTTTTATTAGTTTTTTTTTTCGTAGAAATGAACACAAGGGCTCTTGATCAGGCACAGGCTGTACTTAGCCCTTTACACTCAGATGTCACTGCCTGTGAAACTGAGTTTCCGATGATCTCCCTCACCTGCTCACTCACCAGCTCAGGAACTGATTGTGAAGTGGTGAGAATGCAGTGAGTAAGCAGTCCTGTGAATAAATGTGGACTTGCCCCTGGAGAGAGCCCCCAAGGCAAGGGTGCATGTGAAAGAGGTTCCTTGCTTCCCTGGCAGGCATGAGCCAACTGGGGGCACATTCTTACCACGCAGGCAGGGGAACAGCCTGGGAAGGGAGTGTGTGTGGGTAGCAGGGGGTCCCACAGGTTGGTTAAGGGTTTTCTCTTTTGAGACTGTGTGGGATCTTGTAGGCTTTGGGAAATCATTAGAATGTTTCAAGCAGTGTGAGGTCTGTTTCCTCTTGACCTCACAGACAGGAAGTTTGCATTGAGGCTGCTCAACTTATCTGGAGCATAGCATGGTCTATGCTATGGAGCATTCCATAGCATGGAATTTTAATTCCAACTGAAGTGGTTGCTGTCACAGATAACATCCACTACTGTCCTCCATTATGGCTGTGCTAGAACTAGATGTGGTCCTGGTTTGAACTAGAATGAGCTTCACCAAACAAAATGACCACAGGTTAACAAGCATGGAAAAAAAACCCCAAAACATTTAAAAGAACAAGAACCCACTTTTTTCAATTTAAAAAGATCCACTGTTAACAAAAAGTGAGGTACCTTGTGTAGGGTCCAGGTAAGGCCATGTTAGTCAGGTGTTATTTGAGCAGGGATCCAAGGTAGTGACCCATGTGGATATTGGGACAATTTCTAGGCAGAGGGAATTCTGTGCAAAGGCATTGAGGCAAGAGCTGGCCTGGAGTGTTCAAGGTCCTGTGGCTGGAGAGGAGCAAGAGGGACAGACTAGGTATGTGTGTGCATGTGTGAGTGCATATTGGGCTTGTGAAATGGACCAGTTCAGGCTTGGAGCAGAGCAGTGTCTTGGTTTAGGTTTTATAACTGTGGTAAAGTGAAGTGAAGTGGGGTGATAGTAGAGGAGGCTATTGCAGTATCGAGTCCTTAGAGATGATGGTTCTTAGGCCAGGGTGAGAAAGGGTCCTAGTGTAGAGAATGAATCAGGACCTGGAAGGTGGAGCTGTAAGAGTTTGCTGAGAGCTGAGAAAGACAAGGGTGCATCAGAATTTTTGCCTGAGCAACTGGAATTATATTTCATCAGGATGGGGGAGGGGAAGATTAGGGAAGGAGAAGTTTTCATTGTTTTATATTGTGAGAAGACAATTATTAGTAGTATTAGTGTCAGTATTTTGGCAGACTTTTATTATTACTCTTTGTCGTCATTTTGTTTCTCCCTAACCTTTGTGCTTTCTAATGTTTTAGAGAACAGCTTACCACTTATTTAGGACATTATGAGTGTTAATCGTTGACTGGGAATCAAATGGAGTTTCTTTGCAAGAAAGATTCAATTTAAAGTATTTGATTGCTCGGGGGAAAGGATACTGTGTATACATACAGTTTTAATGCTCTATTATTTTATTGGAAATTACAACGGTGATTTTGTTGACAGGACTCAGATCCATCAACAGCCCTGAATGTGGTGACAGGAAGTTTGTGTGAATCTAAATCTGTTTCCTTCCTCTGAAAACATCCTCCTATATTTGAGGTGGGTCTTCTTTATTTATGTTGGGAGTAGAAATGGCTCTTCTTTTAAATTAGGATCTCTCTCCTGGCTCTATTATTTGAGTTACCCTCTTGTGATGCTGATTAGAAATGCAGATTCTCAGTTTTACCCTGACCCACAAATCAAAATTTGCCTTTAACAAAGTCCCCAGGGGATCTGTGTACCTGAAATTTGAGAATTATTGAGTGAGAACAATTTCAAGTGTTTCTGAAAACTTTGTGCTTCAGGGTCAGCATTTCATCAGGGTGCCAGGTTTAAACCTGATGAATGCCAGCAGGTCTTTGGAGCTGCTCTGAACAGGGTCAAGTTACAGATCACCGCCAACAGCATCTCCAGAAGTCTGGCACCTTTTAGATGCTTTCTTAGAGAGCCTTTTGGAAATGAGAGCCCCCAGTTAAGATGGCGTGTGTTTTGGCATGCAATAGAGAGTCTTCTCTTTTCTAAGGAGAGGGTCAAAAGTGGAGATTGAGTGAATGGAGGGGGAAAGCCCATGTGTCTGGGCACCCAGTGTTGCAGGTGCAACATCTGGGGTGAAAGAAAATTCACATTGCTCAGATGAAATAGGTGTTTGATGTACGGTGGTGCACTTATTTGGAAAACATTGCCCATAGATCTCAGAACTGTTCGTTGCATTTTCCTTAAACATTTCTCTTGTCAGAACGATGAGAAAATTGCTTGTGTGGGAACTTGAGAAGTGCCAATTTGTTACTACCTCCTTTGACGATGGTTTGTATTCAGAGCTGTTTATGAGCTGTCACAAATCATTTCCAGTTAAAATGTGCTGCCTTTATATCAAGTAGCAATGGAAGAGTCTGGGAGGATATGCACGGCCTCATGGTCCCAGCTCAAGAAGGACCCAAGCTTGTATTCTCTTGGTCTGGTTTTTAAATCAATAAATTAAATTGTAAAGAGTGAAAATGGCCTGGTTCCTGTGGAAAAGTTATATTTTGAAAATTTTCTCCCTTATAATGATCATCAGAAACCCAATTTCAAGGCATAAATTTGATATTTAGCCATTGTCATGATTGCTAGGATAGAGATTATGTGTGTCCTTTTGTTCTTTTATGATGTTTGTGAGACTCAGGGGTGGTGCTGTTAGCTCATCATTGATAAGAACATTGCATGTATTAATAATTGCTTTCCCACTAATAATGGTAGATATCCCTTGATGCATCTCTACCACCCATCCATTTGTGCTCATGGCCTATATCTGTGTTGGCTCTCTGGGGTTTAGAGTGCAGCCTCTGGCCTCGTGAATTGTAAGAAAATAAACAATCATATGGGATACTTTTTAATGGGCCTGGATGCTTCATAGCAGTGGTTTTGAGCTAGAGGCAATTTTATTTCCCAGAGAACATTTGAATACATCTGGAGACATTTTTTTAAGAGAGTGGTTAAGATTAGAACATGTACATTGATCAGATAGTGGTTGAGAAGATGTCAGATCTCAATGTCTGTTTTTATTTCTTGTACACTTACTACCTTAATCAGAAAAGCAGTTCCGTTGTCCCAAATTCATTTTTTCTAACCACGACAGTCACAAACTGCTGAGGTACAGATGGACAGACTCCTTCATCACAGGTAGCCTTACTTTTCTTCTGTGCTTCCGGAAGCACAGAAGCACATTTTGCTTGATGGTGAAGAAGTACATCTCTAAAGGGATGGGAGAGGTTTTCTTTTCTAACCTCCTGATTTGTCTTAACCAGTGAATTAAATGAAACCCCCCTTTTTTGTTATTATTAAAATGGAATCTGCTGATAAAATACCCATCGGGGACAATGGTGAAATCACTGGAAATGTGGTAATTTTCTAGCATATTTTGTGAGTAATAAATTTGGATATTTACTTAAATTTTGCTTTCATGACTTCAAAATATAAGTTTCTTTAGACAACTATTTAAAAATGACTAGAGTGTAACTGTGCAAACTGGGTTTTGGCCACTTAGTGCCTTCAATCTACATGACCCAACAATTTGTGTTGAAGGAAACAGGTTTTTATTAACAGGGTTCCAACCCCAGGGGGTCCGAGAGCACTCCTGCTCAGAGTCCTCCTCTCCCATGAGACCCAGAGCTTCCCTTGTTCCTCAAAAGGCTACAAGCCAAACCCATGCCCAGAAGTTCCCCATCTCCTTATCTGTTCTTAAGCCAGTCACGCAATCAGATATTCATCCTCTCTAGCATGCGCACTTGTGGGTTTCAGAGTCACCATCTTCATGCAGCAGCTCTCTCCTTCAGGATCTGGGGTGTACTGGCTTCAATTTCCATGTAGTGATTTATGAAACTATGTGCCATGCTACCCTGGATCCTGGTGTCCCAGATGCTGGAGCACAGTGAGGCATTCATCTCTGCATGGGACCCTCCCTGCCTCCAGCATTGGGCTCCCATCCATGTGGGGTCTAAACCCCTGTTGGGCCTTGCATTTTCTGGTCCCACTAGTGCTCCCATCCATGTGGGGGGCAGAGCCAGAGGCTTAGAACATCCAAATGCCAAAAGCCCAGTGAGAGACCTTGCACCAAGCTCCAAAGTCCCATACCAAAACCTATCCCTTGACCCTGTACCAAAACAGTGACATCCTTCAGCAATACAGAAGTCTGCAGCTCAGTGTTCCCCATCACAGTTCAGCTCCAAGCATCTCTCATGAGTCTGGGTGCACTGGCTTGAGTCCTTCTCATAGCATTAGTTTCTCACTTCTGGAGCTGCCTTTACTCCAGCCATCAGCTCACCAGTGTGTCTGTGTGCTTGGCCAGGCAGGTCCCCCACAGCGTCGCCAGTTCTGCCACTGCCTTTTACAAGCAGACCTCCAGGCAGACCTCCTGACTTCTTGGCAGACTTCCCCTGTGTTTCTTGGTCCGCTCCAATTTTAAATGCTTGGCTGTGAACTTCTGGCATGGCCGAACATCCAGATCTTCTTATGGTGCATTAGTGTCCACCATTTTTGTTGGTTCCTCAGTGTCTTTGACCCTCTTTTGGCTGCCATATTTAATCAGGGCAAGAGTTCCCAGCCTTACACAGGCTGGGCATCCAGGGTGGCCATCAGCACCCCTCCCCCCATAGCTTATGCAGGTGCTGTATAATGTATGAGCAACCCCCTGGCTGTGTCATCAGTCACTCTGCAGGTGCATGCACAGTCTCATAGTCAGGTACACAATTTGCAGCTTCCACAGCTCCTCCCTTCAGGAAGACATGGGCCATTAATCTGCCTTTGTTATTTAATGTGCCTTAAATGCTGTACTTTCCACCTTTGGGGCATTCTTTCCCCAACCCACTGTGCCTTCTTGCAGAATCTGGGGGACCCAAATATTATTTTAAGGGGACCCATGCTCTGTACCCTGCTATAAGAGGGAAGTTCAAGGAATGGAATAACCTATCACCTGTGAACTGAAGGTTAAACTCTTTTTCACAATTGCCCTTTCTTTAAAAAATTTATTCATTTATTTATTTTTAGTGAGAGAAGAAAGGAGGGGGAAAGAGGGGGGAAGAAAGATCAATGTGTGGTTGCCTCTCACATACCCCCAACTGGAGACCTGGCCTGCAACCCAGGAATGCGTGCTGATGGAATTGAACTGGCAACCCTTTGGTTGACAGGCCAGCCAGCACTCAATCCACTGAGCCACACCAGCTGGGGGATGCCCTTTTTTTCTTTTAGCAGGTCCCTTAGAAGCTTTTGTGTTCTGATTACAGTGTATAGATATTTGCAACTGATGAATTTATTGTTCATTAATTCAGTCTTTAGGCCAATAGTAATCCTCTCTAACTTATTACTAAGGCTGTGGTTTGGTCTCTCATGATACAGATTTCCTTTTTCCTTAACTAGATTACTGATACTGTTCAAATGAAGCAGGGAAAGGATTAGGCCAAAACACTGGCCTTTTAACCTATATAAAAAAAAAGTCTTCACAGAAAAATGCTCTCTATTTTTTTTTTTTTTTTTTTTTTGCCTTTTTTTTTTTTTTTTTTTTTTTTCCCCCCGCAAGAAAAGGGGACTCATAATTGAAATCCAGAATAGATATTGCTATGGCAGAGGAGTCCCTAGGGCAGGTTACAGTTTATTGTTTTATGCTCAATTCAGGATAACTGAGTGTTCCTGAAATTAATTCTGTTTTTGGAGGCCGTTGTTTCCCTTGAGCACTTGTACAACTTGATACTATCTCCAAAGTAAAGGGCAAATCGCATAGTTTGTGGCTATCTTCTAATTTCTAATTGACTTTTGGGTAAGATGAGTTTTAATACTAAATTGTTTTACAGTTGCAGTTCTTAGAGAGGTGTTAAGTAAAAGAAACCAGAAGTCCTAGAATGTATATATATCATACATTGTTATATGTTTTGATTTATTTTCAAGTGGTTTCTGTAGCCACTGATCCTATCATCTGATTATATCTATCATCTATCTATCTATCTATCTATCTATCTATCTATCTATCTATCTATCTATCTATCTATCGTCATCATCATCTATGGATCTATCATCTTTATTATCTGTATCTATTTCTGTCTCCATCTGTTTATATTTACCAATGTTTGTCTCTATCAGTATGTATTTCTTTCTGTCTCTTTCTGTTGCTCTACCTACCTACCTATCTCCATCTATCATCTCTATCAATCATCTATCTGCCTATCTATCGATCATTTATGCTACTCACAAAACATAAGGGGAATTCATTCTACTTTCCCCTTAAAGAGAAAAGGCTATATTAAAAAAGAAAAGGCTACAGTTCATATTCAAATAAATTTCTAAGAGAACATGGCCTGTGTCTCAGCCCATGTGCCATGACTTTGAAAATGCACTGTTTGTGACTTTGGAGAAAAGATGGTGGCCAAGTAGGTGGAAACTGAGCTTACCTGTTTGTACCCCTAGCACGGATGTTTTGCTGATCTTCTGACATGTGACCTGAACAATCAGTGGAATTCAGCTGATAGGAATTTTTGAAGCCAAGGAGTAGAGAATACTTTGTACCATCCAGTCAGAGCTTTTACAAGTTGAGG